ACAGAATAATCTGTTTATTATTCCGAGCTTCCGAACTGGTGTGCGAGTCCATCATCAAAGATGACAGCAACAGCGGAACAAGCGACCTTTATGAGGGGTATTAAACAATAACTGGTTCAGGTCTTCAGGTCACTGCGCAAGCTTCTGTAAGCCGGCCCCAGATCGATGCATCGGTTGGCTCAGGCCTTAATCATTTTTGGCTTGTCATGGTTCCGGGGTGGACGATTACCTTGGTGGTTGCAAAGTTGAACTAATGACTCATTGAGGCGTGAGCAGCTGCTGTGACAATTCGTCGCCTCGTCGCACAGCCAGCGTATGTTCGCGTATCCGCGACACGAGTATACTTCCAGCCTGGCCTGTGTAGTTACAAGGACAAATTAGGCAGGGAATGCAATACCATGCCCTCAACTGCTTGTTGGCACTTAATCGGTTCTCGATTTTCATGACCCTGCCGCACGTGGTAGCTTCGGGCCAGTGTGCAATTCAGACACCTAGTCGCGTCCCAGAAACGCCCCTAATATTTGGCAGAGCATGTCATATCCGTGGTAGTGTTTCTGTTTGAGTCCTCCAGGGATGAACGTGTTGATAAATGCCCGCGGACAGATATTTCGCACAAACTGATCTAGGAAATATCGGGCCCCACGTGCTTCTTCGTCTGGGTTGCTGCAGTTAATCTGAATCCGTTTGAAGAACATTCTTACGTAGCTTTGCCCGTTGGGCCACCGGATGGTTGCTATGAAGGCTAAGAAGATGCGTGTTGTTCGCTGCCCTCCTGTAAACGGCAACTGCTGCTCCTGTTCTTTTTTTTCTGTGAATTACGTTGGTCAGGTTATGACAATTCAGCATGCACTTCTAGACGATAACAAACGTGTCGTCAACGTAACGGTGCCAAAAGACCGGTTCATGCTGCATGGAGATAGCCTTTTCTAGCTCCCGTACGACGACTTTTTGCCATTAAGCCGGAGACCGGAGAGCCCATTAGTTTTCAAGACTTGTTCGTAGGTTTCTCTAGCAAAGGGGGGGGGGAGTGAGCTTTTCGGCAAAATTCGAACGGTCTCATGGGGTGCTCAGTTTCGAATTGACTGATTTTCGTCGTGTGTTTCTCCAAGTCTATTGCGTAAGACTTTTTACGCTAAATTCTAATGGTTGTACTCAACGACTTCACACCAAAAGACACCGTGATTTCATCCGACTGCATCTTCTGACCTCGGAGGTCTATGAGGCTGATCGTACTGAGGTAGTCAGATTGCCGTGTAGAAACTCCAGCTTTAAGTAGGTCCACCTCGTCAGATTATAGGTACGGCTACGCACATAAATACGCTTCTTAACTTTATGTTGCCATTTGGAAGGAACTGAGCCCCTCCTCCTTCATATTCAACCCCCAATAAATTATTTTCGCCCTCCACAGACCCCGTCCCGCCGTATATATACGATGACCGACCCCGCCTTGAGTAGAGATCAATTCTCACCCGCCCAATCTGTTCAACTAGGAGATTACCGATTGAAAGTCGCTGTGGAGTCCTGCATCGTCACTCTTTGATCGCACCAGTTGGACTTCCGTGTCGATTTGGCGCAACTCTTGAGAACGTTGCAAACCCAGCTTTACCCCTCCCCCTTTTGTAGGACTCACAGAAAAGACTGACTCCATACCGCCCAGCTGAACAACCGCCTCTGACAACCGAAACGAGTCACACCAACGACCCCCGACCTTTCTCCTCACCCCTCCCTTCTCTTTCACGGCTCAGAGAAGGGACGAACTCGTCACCAGAGCGTCCCACGCTTGGAGTACGTCCTCTTACCCGTTCCTCGTTCGTCAACGGCGTTTACGGGCCAAACTCCCGCCTATTTTTGTGCGACCTACCCTACCCCTCTTCGTTCCTGCGCTTAGTACTCTCTTGTCCCCTTCACCCAGGAATACGCTGCGTAAAGTTGTCTGTGATTGTGTGTGTGTCTGTCTTTAAACTTATGTATACCTGCCCTAAAGGCGGCAAAAGTTTCCACATCTTATTTTCTAATTAAGTTTTGTAAAGCCCTTACCCTTCTTCTTACTCGTCCGTCATGCAGCCACTTTTGCTCGGTGTCCGCACGTCCTGAGGATTCAGAGTTGCACGTACGGTAAGTGACCGATCTCATGAAATGTTGGCTGAAATCCTGAAATGCGTTTTCGATTAGGAGGGTTTACTTGGGCGCGTTTGTAATACTTATTATCTTGCGGCATAATCTTATAACATTTCGGACTCGGCAGGATGTCGGCTTTTAAATGCACTTCTATTCAATCTCCTGTAGAAACCGTACTTGGTAAAAAATGACTACTGAAGCAGCATGCACTTTTCCCATTCATTTTCGATGTTCTCGTACATTCAAATATATCTTATAGAAATCACAAACAAAAATAAGCTCTCTTTCAGTCAATTAATAGAGAATCAGTTCTTTACATTTTATACTCAAGGAAGGAGTATAACTGTTTTAAAAAAGTTTTCTAATTGACGGACATGCTTCTGTAAAGGCCTACGCCAACGGATACTAGCAACGGCCGAGGCAGTAGCTATACGGTTAGCGAATCCGGTGTTATGCTGCCAGAAAACTCTGACACAAGCGCTTCCTCTGCCGTGGCCAACACCAACCCCAAGTGGTGAAGCCATGACGCTTCAAATCCCTAATCACGATGATGGGTACTCCGTATACTCAATCCAAGAACATCACTCAAAGACTCTCTTTCTCCCCTCCCCTAGCTCTGACGACTAACACCCGCCGACCTTGTCATGCGGGCGGCATGGGGATGATGAGTGTTAATGACTTAATAGCCCTTGAGACATCTATAAACACTGTTGATTTTGTGCATTTTCATTCCTTCATGTAATTGTATTGGCCTGACGAAAAATTACCGAAAACGCGTGTTCGCCAACTTGACTTTTCAAGTGTAATATGGGAATATTTGCGGAACTTAGACAATTGCCGAATTATTTGGAGCCTGATCGTTCTTTGCATTAGCGCTTTGTGATCCCAGTCTACAAGGCGTATGCGTTCCGCGCAAAGAAAATCACATACTTTTCAATGCGGTTAAAAAGATATCATACAGAGTCCATGCAATTTCGCAATGGATGCGGACTATGTTGCACATTTCGTGAGGAGCTGTGGTAAACCGTTAGGCACGATGCCATGTGAATGGACATTGCGCGGTCTTAAAAAATCTTATAATCAGAAATTTTCTTAAAACCTAATTACACTCCTTCCTTGAATATAATATAAAGAAGACGTGATTCTCTATCAAACGACTAAATGAAGGCCTAATTTTGTTCGTGGTTTCTCAAAATTATATTTGAATTTGCAAGACCATCAAAAATCAGTGGGAAAATGCATGCTACTTAAGTAGTCATTTTTTACCGAGTACGGTTTCTACAGGAGATTAAAAAGCAGTGTACTCAAAAGCTGACATCCTGCCAAGCCCGAAATGTTATAAGATTATGCCGCAAGATAATCAGTATTACAACCGCGTCCAAGTAATCCTTCCTAATCGAAAACGCATTTCAGAATTTCAGCCAAAATTTCGTGAGATCGGTCACTCACTGTACCTATAGGCATGGGAGTCAGTGACGACTCG